TTATTTATTTATTTATTTATTTATTTATTTATTTATTTATTTATTTATTTATTTATTTATTTATTTATTTATTTATTTATTTATTTATAAGAGATGGAATATGGGAAAAGATCATTTGTGTTTTAAAAGAAGACGGTAAGTTGCTAAAATTATTTGACAAAGTTCATCATAGCCACTTCCTTGATGATGGGAAACAATAGGTATGGGTGGCCCCTCTATCAGATGAATTCACAATGGGTTGAATAACTGTACCAATACATGGCCCTTAACGCATCTATGTCTACAAGGGAGGAAGTATCTCAGGGGTCTGCCCTAGGCCCCGTGCTCTTCAACAAGGGGATAGAAGGGATGGTCGTCAGATTTGCAGATGATACAAAACAGGGAGAAATTGCTAATCCCTCAGAAGACAGGTTTTAAGTTCAACAGAATCTTGATAGACTTGAACATTTATTTTTTTATTCATTTTGTATTATTAAAATTTTATACCATCTGTCTCCCCTTAGAAGATGACTCTAGGCCAGTGGTCCTCAATCATTCCAATGTGGTGGAGCAGCAAAGTAGGGGGCGGGGGTTGCAGAAAAGATGGTTTTGTATGAGTAGCAGGCATGCACATGAGCATGCGCAACTCCATTTGTTCAAGCAATTCATTTAAGGGGAAAATCAGGAGGACTGTCAGAAAGTGGAGCAGGATAGCATCTGAGTTTTGGTGTGAGGTTAAAAACAGCAGACACAGAAACCCGTTGAAAGAATGGTGAAATAAATATTTGATTCTGCATTCAAAAATGACTCTGCAGGAATTGAAATGCTTTAACCTTCAGCTTTTGGTGAGGTGGTTAGATAGACCCATGGAACTTTACCTAAGGCCAAATGGTTTTGCTGGGCTGCATGTTCCTCTTCATGGACTAGGCAAGGATGCCTTTTACAACCTATCAATCACAAGAAACATTTTTAAAATTCTCCTGGCATCAGAGGCATGAAGCTATCAAACTTCCAAAGTGATTTCCCCTTTTTTGAGCTCCAGGATTCCAGCAGGTTTTCTTTAGTCGTTTTGGTTGATTGGCTTCTACCCATTTGGGTCATGTTGGTATAGGACTGTGGAATAACACTCATACATTGTTTTATTCACAGGATAAAGTTCATATCCCTGGTGCTATCTACCTCTCAGTCAAATTTGACTCTCAGTGTAATACCGAAGAGGGATGTGATGAGTTGGTCATAGCCAGCAGTTGTGACTTCATCCATGATCGACATACATTCAGTGGGCCTCCACACAAATGGACTGATTTTGAACTTCCAGGTAAACTACAAAAGATTTCTTCAGGAAACCAATTGTTCCTTATTTGTCAGAAATAACAGCATAACAGAATAACAAAGTTGGAAGACATCTTGGAAGACGTCTTCTAGTCCAACCCCCTACTCAAGCAGGAGACTCTATACCTAGGATGGCGAATCTATGACACGCGTGCCACAGGTGGCACGCGGAGCCATTTGTCAGGGCATGTGAAGCGTTGCCCTGTCGGCTGAGTTCAGCCTTTTTTAAAGCAATTTTTCACCCTCCCCAGGCTCCAGAGGCTTTATAGGAGTCTGGGGAGGGCAAAAAGAGCCTCCCCTGTCCCCCGGAGGCNACTGAATTAAGTAATGCCAATTTAGTTTATCAAACTACTTACGAAGCAGTGAGGTAGCCTTCCAAAAAACCTGCAGCGTACATGAGTATTTCATTGCTTACGGGCTGGTTACCATAGCCTGCTTTGATCTCAAGTATCCCCCATCCAGTAGATTGTACAGTGTCATTGTAATAGCCATAAGCATCTCCATTCTTGTCTAATACATTCTTAACTTGGAAAGTTTTTTCAGCTTCCAACCAATATACAGTAGCGTAGTGGAGATCTGTAAGGATACAAAGAAGAACATTGAAAATCAAAATATGGTATAAAAAACTCAAATTCCTTGATTTATGAAATAATTATAAACTCTAATTCCTTGATTATGAAAAAATATAAAGAGGAAGAGTCTTTGTTTGTAATTAGAAATCTGTTTCCTTCCATGCAACATTCTTGTCTTTCGTCTTGAACTTGACAGTTTAATAGAGGATGGTTGCATCCTAATTTAATCTTAAAATCACTTATATAAACAATACAGGATGTATTCCAGTCAGATGGAAATCTGCCTACATAAAAAGGGTGACAAAGATGAATAAAAAAGCCTATAGACCAATAAGTCTGATTGGAATTGTGACTAAAATGTGTAATAAGGGCGGTGAAGTGCAATTATTCCTCCACCTTTATTGTGTCTGCGGGGAGATGGCTGGCAGCCCTATTTCCAGTACCCAGGCCTCTCCTGGGTAAGGAAAAGCTAAGGGACCCCTGGTGGGGTCACTTTGAGGAACGTTCTTTAATATTCTTGGCATCTGTCAGACAAAGACTTTGCTGAGAGTTAGACTGTGGCTGGGAGCCCCTGTGGAAGTGATGGAGGGATGTTTGAGTCTTGTTATCTGGTAGGACAGTTGCTCTTGAGGAAGTGGATAGGTTCCTTGAGGATGTGAGCCCAACCAGTTATGTTCTGGATCCATGCGCCTCCTGCCTAGAGAAGGCTTCCCAGGAGATAGCATGTGATCCAAGCAGTGACTAATGGCTCTTTGCAGGACAGGATGTTACCACCTGCTCCCCAAAGGGGCAGTGGTATACCTCTGTCTCAAGAGGCCACCCTTGGACCCCATAGTATTGGACAATGTCCAGTTTCCAATTTTTCTTTTTTAGAGAAGCCTGTTGATATGGTGGCTGATGCAAATACAAAAGGTCCTGGATAAAGCAGATTACCTGGATCCTTTCCAGTCTGGGTTCAAGCACAGCACTGAAACAGCATTGTCATATGTGTTGATAATCTTTGGAGATAATTACCATGGTATCCTTTAATCCCAGTTTCAGGGGCTATGAGTGGGGCCACTGTGCTACAGTGGCCTCCTCCTTCCTTCATAGCTGGTTCTAGTTGCTGTTGGTAGGAAAGGAGAGCTCAATATGGTGTATCCCAGGGCTCAAGCTTTTCACTGCTCCTTTTAAAGATCTACATGAAATGGCTAGGGGAAGTTATCTGTTGATATGAGGCCCAATAACATCAGTATGCTGATGATACTCCATTATATCTCTCTACCCCTAGCTGGACAGATGACACTGTGGTGGTACTGGCTGAATGTCTGGAGGATATAAAGGCCTGGATGGGGAGGAGCCCCCTTCAATTTAACCCTGGCAAAATGAAGTGGCTATNAACTAGCACATATGTGCAAGGGGAATCTTTACCTTTACCTTTACCTTTATACTGTATAGGGAAAGAAGAATGACTCAATGGCTCATGAGTTGTCTAGTGACATGGTAGAGCAGAGTTACTAATCTGTGCATTCTCTTGTAAAACTATGCAAACCATTTAAAAGAAGGTGCTTTGGAATGATGGGACTGCATGTAGAACATCTCTTATTTGACTAATTAAAGCAGCCATGACTCTTTCCAGGCTTATACACTTTTGGTCCAGCCCTTTAGCTTCCGCATCATGTTGAGTCTCCCCTCTGCCATAGGGACATATGTGTAAAAGTGGAAGGGCTACAGCAGATACTCTCAATCTGGAGTTAAGATTTCAAGGTTTTAATAATGTATATAGCAACAAATATGCAGGTTTTTTCCTCATTGTTTTATTTTATGCATTTAAATCCATTTTCCCCCGAGGTTTGAAAAAGAGATCTTAAAGAGATCATGGAACAAAATATATTAATACAAATGTATTAATACATTTTACCTATGTTAGATTATTAGCATAAATATTATTTTTTTAGGAATTGTTTTTTTTAATGTTTTAATACTTGATTGGGAACCTCCAAGCATTTGGTAAAATATGGGTGAATTAAACTAGTTACCAAATACAATAATTTTAAATCTTAAACTAGTACCTCAAATAGTTTGGATCCACATGGCAGCAAACCAAGTCACAAGGCCACCTGTATAATAGGGACATCTGTTGTAGTGGTAAAGAGATAGCAAAATTACATCTTGATTGGAGATTATGAGGGAATCCCAGGACTGTAGACTAGAATGACAGTGGGAAGGTGACTAAACAATTTGTTTTTCACCCAATCTTATTATCAAGAAAGCATGTAACTATCAAGGATGCGAGAGCTATAAACTCTAAAGAGTTTTTATCCTTATTAAATAGGAAACTGATAAGACTAGAAGTGATTTGATTCCAGGAATTTGCTTTAGGATATGCAAGTGGCATCTGTTGGCAACCCATTAAATCAGCTGCATCCTTTTCCAGCAGAGCGTAGCTGAAGTGAAAAGGTTTTGTAAGCAGTTGTTGTCCTATTCTAGAATAAGCTGCAGCTGTCTTAATGAGTCACTGACAGGTGCTGAACTCTGATGTACCTTTTAAAAACTGGATCTGAAGCACATCATATGGCCCTTGAAACTGGTACATTACAAGGAAAGAGGAGTCAGCCTCCAACATTTTTTTAAAATTTCTTGTAATATTTCTGAGCTCCAAATATGCAAATTAAAAAAGTGGTGGCTACAGCCTAAAGCTTTGAAAAGTTGCCTACCTGCTTAGAAAAAAAGGGCATTGGAATTATACAGAGAGCTTCATTTCATGTTAGTTTTCTAATAAATGAATGTTTTGTGTTACCCTTTTATGGGTAGATTTATCTCTATCCGTGATAGTCATTAGAACATCCATGACACCTTCTTAACCTTTCTGCTGTATTTACCAGTCCAAAATGTTGGCTTATTTCTCTCTCCCTGATTCTTATCTTAATTGTAAAACTCCTTCTAAAGAGGACTCTGCATGCACAAACTTGCATTGGATAAGCATGTATTAAAACAATTGTTACAACAACAGTATATTTTACCTGAATTTTACCTGAAACAACAGTATATTTTACCTGAATGGGACTCTTAATAACTGTCTATAAATCCATAATTCAAAAGCATCTTATCTTATTTCTCCTGCTTTTTCTCTGTTTCCACCTTTCCAAGTTATAATTTATTGCTGGAAAAAAAATTCCATTAACTATTCTTATCATTAAATACTAGTGATTGTCTTATTACACTATGCTGTTTCATTGAGGCAATGGTGATTACAATAATGTCCTAAAACCATGATAGTGAACCCATGCCACACATGCCACAGGTTGCACGCAGAGCTCTCTCTGTGGGCACGCCAGCTGTCGCCCCAGCCCAGCTCTACCGCACATGTGTGTTTACCTCCCGCCGGCCAGCTGGTCTTTGGGTCTCTGCCACGCATGCGTGGGGGGCAGGGAGCACAGGGAGCACTTGCATTGCATTTTGGGAGCTCGTGCAATGCTCCACCTCTGTTTTGGCTTTCAGGTTGGTGCAGGAGCCTTTCAGGCTTAAAATGGGATGCAGGGAGGGGGTCCCTGCACACACATTGCATTATGGGTATGCGATGACAAAAAAATTAGCCATTACTGGTCTAAAGTCTTTATGCCTTTTTTGTTTTTGTTTTTGCTTCTGTTTTTATTATTGTAAGCATCCCAGAATTGTGTGCCCACTGGATGGGAAGCCATATAAATCTTATAAATGCAATTAGAACCTAAATTGAATAAAATTAAGGGCAGGATTGTGTATGAAACAGAAAATGCAATTTGTTTCCAAAGCAAAACAAACATATTGCAATTTGTGAGTTTTGCTGAACTGTTCCAGGCAGGCTGTTGCTTGGCATAGCTGAAACCTGGTTTCTTGATTGATGTTGATTGTGGCCAAGACAAAAACCTAGAAGAGTCTTATAAAGCTTACCCTTTTTTCCCTCTTCCTCTGCAGAACACACTTGGCAGCCTGTCAATTGGTCTTTCTCGTAGCTCACTTTCCTAACTTCCTCTAATGCTTCACTTAAAAGACAGAGGAAGTGGTGGAAACTAATGGGATGTAGGTGAAAGAGACCCTGTTAGCTATCCCAGGTAAATCAGACAGGAAATACAACTAGATGAGCTAATTCTACTTCATTGTAAGGCTACATTAATAAAACTTTGTGGGTCTGAAAATACAAATCTCCTGACATCTTCTTTACTGTCTGAGAATCTAGGAAAGATCCATTCTGACTGTCTTTCTCCATCCATTATGCAGCTGCAGACATGTTCTCCCTTATCTGACTGTTCCCTAGGTAACATTTCTTCACCCTGTCTCTCAAAGTATTTCTCACATACCATTGGCAGGCACATTGGAAGAGGCAGAAGTTTTATAACCAATGTTTGAAGCTAAGGACAAGGTTGGTGATACCATACAATTGGTCTGCCCACCCCCAAACTTCCCAAGCTCTTTTCTTTCTCTACTATTTGCTGCTATTGCTGTTTTTAGTTTTTTTTCCTGCCTCCCACCCTCCCTCATCTGAAATACTTCTGCCCTGGGGACTTGACATACAAGCTTTGATCCAGGCACAGATCACCAAGAAACTAGCTTTTCCATTTACTGAATACCTGTCAAGCATAGCAAAACAATCCGGCCAAAGTTCAGTTCTTTATTTGTTTATACCTTATAGACAGAATCTTGCTAGACTAAATCTACACTACTAAATCTACACCCCAAGAGACTGGATATATGCTTGGCAATTCTAGGGAGTGGTTATCCTTTCTCTTCTCTTTCTCTTCCCACAATCCAGCTCGGGATTGTGCTATCTCTTCTTTCCCCTCCCTTCCCAGATTATGCTCCTTTTTCCCTTCTTGCCTATGAACTTGCTGCATTATTTAGTACACCACACACCCCTTTCCTGGACACATTGCATCACAATACTTCTCCAACCAAAAGTTGATATATATCTGGGTTGATAAATGAAGGACTGACCTTATATATTTATGCTCATCTTTTGGTCATATCAAACCATGTGCCTGGCTTCAGTTGCACTTAATCTGTGTTTGTTATTGTGAAATAACCATTTGTGCAGTATGTTTTAGAATAAATGAAATGTTAGAGCTAAGACAAAGTTGTGACTCAGCCATAAATTTTGCTATGGAAACAGCCACTGAAGTGTATTTATTCAGCATTGTAACATTTTTCTTAATTGAGATATAGCTAGCCTTGTTAAGAAACGTGCACCTTTAAGTATTCTTGCACATTTTTGAGAAAAAAATAGAGTAATCAAGCGATAAACAAAATATCTAGTACAGGGCTGTTATTATTAGCAAGGCTTGGACTTGGAAGATTCAAACTCAGCTTGGTCCTGAAGCTCATAAGTAATGTGGGTGCAATTTTTCCTTTCTTAATAGGAATGTGGGAGACAAAACAGAAAATAAATAAATAAATGGGATGAGAAGAACCATTACATATATTGTCTTGAATTCTTTATAGAAAAACAGAAACAAAACAGAACCCTTAAAACATTAACTTATATGGAAGAGTAGTTAGATAGTTATATAAATCATTAGTTGTGATATTGTTGGGGAAAAAACATAGTTAAGACCCCTTTATATGTTACATTTGTATATGATCATTGCAATTTTAAAAAAGTGACTAGTAGAAATATCTGCTATTATACTATATATATTTGATGGCAAAGCTAGACGTCATACTAAATAGCAGAGACATCATCCTGCCAACAAAAGGGCATATAGTCACGGCTTTGGTTTTCCCAGTTGCAATGTATGGCTGTGAAGGTTGGACCATAAGAAAGGCTGAGCACCAAAGAATTGAGGCCTTTGAACTATGGTGCTGGAGAAGACTCATGCGAGTCCCTTGGACTGCAAGGTGATCAAACTGGACAGTTCTAGAGATCAACCCTGATTGCTCTTTAGAAGGCCAGATCCTGAAGATGAAACTCAAATTCTTCAGCCACCTAATGAGAAGGAAGGACTCACTGGAGAGCAGCCTAATGCTGGGAAAGATTGAGGGCAAAAGAAGAAGGGGACNTTTGCTACCTATCTTGCCGCGTCCTTCTCTCCGCCCAAGATGCAAAAAAACCGACCCTACGAGCAAACTGGAAGTCACTTCTGGTTTGCTCGTAGGGTCATTTTTAGTCCTCTGGAGGCTTCAGGGAAGGTCCCTGAAGCCTCTGGAGGGCTTAAACAAGGTCCCTGAAGCCTCCGGGGGGAGGGGAGGCTGTTTTCGCCCTCTCCAGCTCCTATAAAGCCTCTGGAGCCTGGGAAGGGCGAAAAAAGCATGCAAAGAATGGGGGGGAGCGCCTCTCATGCGCGTATGCACACTGGGGGGAGGGTGCGTTGCATTATGGGTGCAGCATGCCCGCGCACGACCCCCCCTGCGCTCCCCCCTTATGGCATGTGAGCCAAAAAAGTTTTGCCATCGCTGCCCTATACCATTCCAGACAAGTAGCTGTCCAGTCTCTTCTTAAAAACCTCCAGTAATGGAGCACTGACCACTTCTGAAGGCAAGCTGTTCCACTGGTTAATTATTCTCACTGTTAGGAAATTTTTCCTTAGTTCTAGGTTGCTTCTCTCCTTGATTAGTTTCCATTCATTCTTTCTTGTCTTGCCTTTCGGTGCTTTGGAAATAAGTACCCAGTGTTTTAGGCCCAGTGGACACATTTTGAAAGGATGCTATGACAATTTTAAAAAAAATGGCTACTACAGTGGATATAGACAGGCAAAAACATTCATGTATCAAATATTAATTGATGAGATTATTTTCTGCCACCTCTCTAGAAGCTCCCAGATACTCTCAACTATCACAACTGACCTTTGACTTTTGAGAAGCATTTAGACACCCTTTCAAACAAAATACTAAGTAGTATATGCTCGCTGTTTGTAATTTCTAACAGTGCCTTTGAAATGCTTGTAAGAACTCAGCCATATATAGGAATTAGACCTATTTTTTTTGCCAGAAATGTCCAGTTTGGGGCAAAAAAAAATGCCCTTTCCTGACGATGGGTACATTTAATGACAACCACACCTTGTTTGATGTACACTCTGTTCTATAGTTTGGAATACCTCTCTATTCCCTTGCTTGTTTGCAGATTGGAAAGAGCCTTATGAATGAATTCTCTCCTTTATAACATTATTTCCATACTGGTGTTAGTCTGGATTCTATCATGATAAGAAAGGAATCTTGATAAAGTCTGTTGTTTTAAGTGCAGAATGCTTGCTGTTCGTTTTCTTTGTTTTATTTAAAAATGCTATTTTACTACATCTCTGTAAACCAAGGGGACGGGAATGTAGGCCTTCCAAATTACGAAGACAATGTGGTTTTTAATTTTGTACTAAATATTCCTAGCCCTGCTTTAGCTGTTACTAGATATTATAGAGCCTATTAAATGGCTCAAATGACTGATTTGAGTGTGTGTTGTCACCAAGTGGTGGTGGTGGGGAGGGTGTATTATTTTATTTTTATTATTTTATTTTTATTTTATTTTTATTTTATTTTATTTTTTTATTTTATTTTATTTTTATTTTATTTTTTTATTTTTTTATTTTTATTTTATTTTNTTTTTTATTTTATTTTATTTATTTTTTTTTCTGTATTGTACTTTTATTTGTCTGTATGTCACCTAGAGTCTCTGTGAGCGAGTAAGTGGCTATATGTGAGCAAGTAGGCAGTAAGAGCTGCAGTGGTATAGTGGTTAGAGTGCAGTACTGCAGGCTACTGCTGCCTGCCTGCCTGCCTGCTGCCAGCAATTTGACAGCTGGAATCTCACCAGCTCAACATTGACTCAGCCTTCCATCCTTCCGAGCTGGGTAAAATGAGGACCTAGATTGTTGGGGGCAATAGGCTGACTCTGTAAACCGCTTAGAGAGGGCTGTAGAGCACTGTGAAGCGATATATAAGTCTAAGTGCTATATAAATTTTCTAAAATAAATATACAAATAATTAAATCTTGATTATTAATTTTAGAACCATCATCTTTATTAATTCCAATAAGTAAGTGTGTGTGTGTGTTTGTGTGTGTGTGTGTCATTTTAAATACAAATTCCTATGAAAACTACAAATAGCAAAAACAGTTAAAGAGGTGAGTCTCCCTCCTGCAGGGGTATGAAAGAAAAGGAGAAGCCTTGTCAAACAGGTCACTTCAGGCTGTGTGAGAGAATCTTTCCTTCTTATTTGACAGGAGATACGCTATACTACCGATTCACCACTGACATGAGCAATACCGAGTGGGGTTACAAGTTTACAGTAACAGCTGGTCACCTGGGGAGATTCCAAACAGGTCAGTACTGTTTAGGTCACACCTTGTATTATTGCTTAGTGGGTATCTTTGTGTAGAGATACTAAATGAAATAATAAATATCTATGTTGAAAATTTGAGAAGTTCTAATTCAGTCTCCTTCCAACAACATTGAGAATGACCGTCCAACACATCTAAATTGGGTAGAGGTGGCATTCAGCAGGTTCTGACCAGTTCTGGAGAACCGGTGGCATAAATTTTGAGTAGTTCGGAGAACCAGTAAATACCACCTCTGACTGGCCCTGCCCCCATCTATTCTCTGCCTCCTGAGTCCCAGCTGATCAGGAGGAAATGGAGATTTTGCAGTAACCTTCCCCTGGAGTGGGGAAGGAATGGAGATTTTTAGAGTATCCTTCCCTGCCATGCCCACCACGCCATGGCTGCCACGCCCACAGAACCAGTAGTAAAAAATTGAGACAGGGGAAGTCAGAATGCTGTTCTAAACAAATAAAAATAATTGTACTACCTACCGTATTTTTCGGAGTATAAGACACACCAAGGTTTTGAAGAGGCAAATTGAAAACAAAAAGTTTTTGCACTCTGCAAACCTCCCCAAAATGGCCTGTTTTTCGCAAAAACGGGCCCATTTTTTTTTAAAAAGGGGGGGGCATGAATAGCCTTATAGAGTTCTTCTGGGGCCTGAGAAGAGAGGGAATTGAGCAAAAAATGGCCCATTTTTTTCCTCATTTCTGCCAGCCCCAGCCCCCAGGAGCTCTCTGAAAGCCTCCTAAAAACTATGCACGGACATTTTGGTGAAGGGGATGGGGTTTCAGGAGGCAGAAAATGCTGTATTCAGTGTATAAGACACACCCATATTTTCAGCCTCTTTTTTGAGGGAAAATGATGTGTCTTATACTCCAAAAAATACGGTATGATTATTTTAACTTTATGAAACTGCTTTTCTAATCTCCTCAATTGTACTGTATGTTTTTCTTAAGCTCTGTACACCATCTTAGTTATGAACTTTTCTACGGATAAGAATATAGGATTTATTAAAGAGAAGAATACAGGGACTTAAAAGAACCCATAGAAAATGCAGTGTGCTTATATTGAATTTCAGGTTTTGAGATCTTGAAGCAAATGCTGTCAGAGGAAAAGGTAATTCCTCATATTCCACTTGTGAAAGTTTGGGAGTGGCAGGTGGGCGTGGCCTGCAGGCAAATTGGACACCAACGATTGAAAGCCATCCACTTGCTCTTGAAGATCATACAGTGCAGCAGTGAGAGGTACACTTTCTGATCCCACTTTTGTTTTTCTAGAGGGAGTTCCTACCTCTTGTGTTTGTGCAGAAAACGCATAATTCACACTACTACTGTATATCGTGTCATTTTACAATTTTTAGGGCTATGCATTTTCATTTTAAACCCTTTGTTTAAGTTGGAATTGAGAGTATAAAAGGTTGAGTTCTCTTTGGCTCACAGGTGGTTATTTAGCTTTTTTCATACTTCTATCTTCCTGAATATTGACCTGTTTGTTTTTCCAATCAATCCAATGGTAAGTCCCTCCCAACCATTCTCAAGGCAGCACTTAATATTTTTTTTTCCAGCCTCTACAGCAGGGGTAAGTTTGAGGCTTATGGACTTCAACTCCTCACTAGCATGGCTGGCTAGGGAATTCTGGAAGTTGAAGTCCACAAACCTTAAAGTTGGTAAGGATGGACATCCCCGCTCTAAAAGGATAGTCTCCTATCCCAATTGTTGCCTCGTCTTGCTCCGGAGACAATGCACAATGGTGAACTCTATGGGCTATTCATGTGACCAGAACTGTCAGAACTTTCCCCCTCTCTTCTGTTCCTTTTTCCTTTAACCTAACACAAGTGCCATGGTCAACAGGCTCATGTAACTTACTCTGTCGAAGATCACTGCAGTGGCTGAGGCCAAGCATGGAGACTGGGCCTAGTGGTGCAGCAGTACTCCCCCTCTCCCCTCATCTCACCGTGGTATTCCTTTCTATGTTTCCCCAAGAAGAAAGCAGGAAACATTGCCTTGGGTTGCCAGCTGGCACAAGTCACAAAGACTTTGGGGGCGGAGTGAAATATCACCAGTCCGCAGCTCAAACTGAGATTCCCCCACCCCAGTAGGCAAGCACCATTCTGTCACACCTGCAGGTGGATTCTTGACTGCATCCTAAGGAGAGACTTACATTCACTATCTCAACTATCATCTGGTCAGATGCAGAACCAGATAGCAAGGAAGTAGAATTATCCTTAGTTAAGGAACATGGCCAGCAATGAATCCACAGGGCCACTAGACTTAGTCAGAAAGCAGGGTGTTGTTGTTTTTTTACAACTATTCAGGAACATCTAGACATCAATAGGCTTGAAAGACTCAAAAATCATTTGGCCCCTCAGATGCCCCAAAGGTTCTAGCCAGAAAAATAGGCAGGCACCTCAGGATTCCATCCCTATTTGCAGCCAGTTGTGTGTGGTTTTCACACCTCAGTGCCTCATTTCTTCTGCATCTCTTTCTCTAGCTTTGCATTCTAACACTGACAAAATACTTGAGCCCTATCTTCATAACAAGTGGGCAGAAGATGCCCACTATCAATTGCTCCAGCTCCATTGTGGAAAATGAACTGTTGCTTTTTAAAGCTAATGCTTGGATTCATAAGAACTACAGGGCTAAAATGGCATTCAAAATAGTAACTTGAGAAATTAGTATGCGTGCGTAAAACAGCGGTTAGCAGTCATGCCATTTGTGGGGTGCTGCTTTTCATGCTAATTCTAACACACCTTTTTCCCCCCAGGGACTGTGATCTCACTTTGCTGAAGCCACTGTGGCATCTTTTCAGCCACATGGAAAAAAACATGAATTTTGAAGTGACTAAGCCAGGGGTCCTTCTTCCACTCCACCGGGCACTCACTGAACTTTTCTTTGTTGCTGAGAGCAGAGTTAGTGTAAGTCATTTGCTTTCCTTTGTTTTGCAGACCATAAATATGTGTTCCTGTATTTTGCTTATGAGCCTCACTTTTTCTGTTTGCAGGAACTTGGGTCTCTGCAGGATTACTTGCTTGCCTTAAATTCGGAAGACCATCTCTACCACTGTACAGCCCAGGTAGGGCAACCTGTTCCTTCTGTTCTAAAGCTCCTCCGTGGAGTACCTTGAAGAGTCGAAATAAATTTGAAATGGGAACAGTGTGAAGCCCTTTGAAATGACTAAATTGGCATCAGGCCAATGAAACCAGAGACATTGCTCCCAAAGTTAGCTCAAATACTGTAGTAAGAAAACCCAAGTGTTTATTCTATTATTCTAAATCCACTTTCTCTTACTGGGGAAAGCTGGCTTTGAAATTCAAATTAACATGCTGAATTGAACTTGACAAAAACTTAGCAGCCAGTGGCATTTCTTGATAGTAAATGCAATGTGCTTTTAACTATCTTTCTGCTTTTAATTGTTGACTTTTTTGTTTATTTATTTTAACAGGCCCTGAAAAACATTGCTGCTATTAGTCTTGCCATTAACTATCCCAACAAATCAACAAGTCCCTGGAATGTCTAGGAATGACTTTCGCTGCTCAGAATAACTTAGTTCCTGTCCAGAGGAAGCTTGGTGCAGGCGTTTTCGCTTGGTTCACAAATCGGAGAAAGGCAGAGGCCCCTCCTGCTTCAGTATGTGTGCACTCTGCAGCCAGCCAACCTTTCTTCCTCCCCAATCTGGATTCTGTAAGAGCAAAAGCGCACCTCTGGGGAAATGGGGAGAATTCCCTGGAGCACTTCCGGTGCCATCAAGAGTCATGTATGCACTTCATATCTTTGGAACAGTATTCACCCTCTGAATCTTGGAAGGAAAAAAGGCAAGAGAAGAGGGGATGACGTTCCCCCAAAGAAGGAGAACTCAGGTCATCTTCTGGCAGTCATCGCATCCTTCGGTCATCCTGGGCACACCCTCTCCCCAGAAGGCGAATGAGCGAATGAACTGGAATTAGCAAGTAGCAGCCTGTAAATGCCTGAATGAGGATGGAAGAAGCAAGATGCTTAAGAGGGTTTTAGGCTACAGCATGGCAGAAAGCGGAATTGCTGCCTTACACCCTTTTTCCTTTTGGGAGCTGAGCTCTTTCCTAGCAAAGGGGCAGCTTCTAGGATCCAGATCAGTTTCTGCAAATGAGCAAAAAGAAAGAATGTATTTTCTGGGAAGAACAGGGTACATTTTGTGAGCAGTTATGGAATGATAGTGTTGGAGTCCGAATTCCTGGAGAGATCATACAATTAAAATCCCTGGGGCCTGGAATTTACAGTATTTGCTCATAAGAAGGCAAGAGAAAGGAGGGTTTTTTTTCCCCCCAATAAGATCACATTGCGAAGAGAGGGGGAGTGCAACAGGGTTTCTTTTCCTCCCACAAGATCCCAGGAATACTGTGATGTAAAGAAAATGAACTCTTTGTCTTGCTTTTCACAACAGTAATCACAGAGCTCCTGAATTGGGAAGACATAAGATCTCAAAGATGAAATGCATAGGCTTTAATTTCTCACCTCAGGAGGGAAAGTTGCAGTGCAGGGTAGGGGAGATTTTGTTGTTGTTGTTTTTGTCCTCTCCCAGGACAACTGCATGGAAAGCTAGATGCTTCTATGTAGGAACCATATATTGCCAGCTGTATACTTATATTCTTATCAAGCTTGCCAGTCATCAGTTGTGCTTCGGTATGTCTTTCAGGATTTTCAGAATCCAGGGGGGAAATGCACCTGGAGGATCTGAACATTGTGAGGGCAAATCAGTGTAGGGAAACACACATCAAATATATTGCTCCTGCTGAAGCATTTAAAAAAGAAACCAGTGTTTTCTTTATAAAATATCTTTTAAAAAAGTGGTTGATCTTTTGAAAGTGAGATTCAATGTTTTCTCAATCTTAGCAGCTTTCAGATGTTCCGACTTCAACTCCCAGAATCCCCCAGACAGCCTTGCTGTCTGGGGGATTCTGGGAGTTGAAATCCACACATCTTAAAAGTGGCTAAGGTTGCAAAACCCCAGGCTAGATATAATTGCTGAAGATGATGCTGGGTGCTTGCATATTGGTCTTCATGATTGTGCCAAGGGGCTGGAGCTTTCCTGGCTTAAGCAATACACTATAGGAAAAGCGGAGAGTGCTTGACTGTTTACAATGGCAGGTGTCAATCAATGTTTTTAAAAAAACCTCCAACTCTTCTCTCTCATCTCTCTTCAAGAGCAGAAGCCATAACCAGCACAATCAGCTTTTGGCCAGGATGCATTCTCTCACACAATCAGATTTTCTATCCATCACAGGAGATGATCCCTGTTGTAGCAAAGATATCTATTGTCTTCCGAGCTGTATGTTGAGGCAAGCTATGGATCCGGTACAACCAGATGGGAAGCATTTTCTGAAGGAGGCCATTTCAATGATAGTTGTATCCAAAGAGGTCAAAAATCCATTTTTAGAGCAATGTTGCTTGCTCCTGTAAAAAAATAAAATAAAAAGTCGCATCACAATTTTTAAAACACAGGATCTTTTGATGGATAGCTTGTTGAAAGGGAAAAGGAACTCATGACAACTCGAGTCTCGGCTTATTTTTCTCTCTCCTCTAAAACAAACGTGCAAATTTTATTCGTGGGACATAGCATGACCCCGAGACTTGTAATCAGCAGCGTCATAGTTTCAATTCCTCCTGTTTCTGTTTGGCTTATAATGTGTCTCTTTCTACATAATCATATGAATATTGAAAAGAACTGTTATACCTTGCATATTGCTTTTCCTATGACCAATAAGAATTTTGAAGCTAGAAAAGATTGAACCCATCTTTTTTGTTCTAACCTCTGTACACGGAATTTACTGGGTCACCGCTGAGCATGAACATAAATCATTGCCTTACATTTTTGCTCTCTTCATTTCTTATTTTTCTCACGGGGAAGAATTATGGCCTTTGTTTTAGCTAGCGTGAAAGATGCACAGTATACATTGAATTTAAGACAGCTAACAAACATTGCAGTTCATTATCTGTAGTAGTTTCAAATGAATGCAAAACCTGAGATTTGAAGGGTGAATGGGGAGAAGAAAACAAGAAACGTGCCTACAAGTGATTTATTGTGTATCTTAAATTGCATCCAACATATCGAGAGACTATTTACCATCCTAATGCAACTTTATTTTCCCAACATAAAACTTAAATGTTAGTAGTCATTAACTTTCTTACGTGCTTATTTTTTTGGGGGGGGAGGGGGGTTCAGAAAAAAATATTATTTTCGTTGGGGGAGGATAGTCTGTTTTGGTTTAACATAATTAAAATCAACTTCTTAGATTTATTCCTGTTTGGCTTAATATGTATTTAAAAAGAAGTTGTAAATGCGATGAATATATACAAATGAAGAGATATATTGTAAAAAATTATATTAAAAATGGAAGTACCAAATATGTGACTGGTCATTATGTAAACGTATTTGTTGACAATCAACAAAAAGTGTTTGAATTGTAGGGATTTCAAATAAATGTTTTTGGACTACCAGAGCTTTTGAGTATAGCATCCTTCTCCAAACTGACGCCTTCTAGGTGTGTTGAATTAGCTCCTACCTTCGCCATCCAGTGTGATGGGAAGTATATCTCAACATATTTAGACGGCATCAGGATTGGAAAGGTTAAGTCTGTAGAGAACTGCTTTATTTTCTCATTCTCCTCCAGCATTAACAGATTCTGTCTTTGTCCTGTAGATTGTGCTCCCCCATTTCAGTCCCCTCCAGTGTGTTAGGGCTATAATTCCCATCCAGAATTTCCAGCTACTCTAGGTTGGGAGTTGAAGTCCACACACCTGAGGGGCTGCCAAGGTTGAGAAATCCTGCTAAAGATGATCAACCAGTGCACTTTTCCACTTTTCATTTATATTCTTTGTTTAGTATGAAACAGGCTGATGGTCACTTCCGTGGCTTTGGTCAGCAGTCAAGGCTTATGAATTATTTTGATTCTGGGACCTGATGTCCTGCTATGCCACGTCCTCGTTGGAGGAAGGGGATTCCTGAGAGATATAAACAAAAGAACACTGTGCAGGTATTCCAAGAATACAGCGTATAATTCCAGCAGGATCACACAAAGCATGAAGGTGATCCCAACTGCCCAGTTAAAGCAAGCAGGCGCATATATCTGACACCAGTAATGTAGGAAGATGCTGAAGACAGTCATACTGTGTAGGAGAAAGCAATGGTAAACTATTTCTGCACTTTACCAAGAAAGGCAGATGGACAAACAATATAAAGTGGTTGACAATATGATGCCAGATGATAAGACTTCTCGGGTTACATGGCAATATTACTACCAAGGAAGAACTGAGAATTTTTCTACTAGTGGTGTATGACACAGCTACATTAAAGCCTTTTGGATGTTTAACTTGTGATGCTGCCATGCAAAAAAAAAAGCTGCAGATTTACATGGGAATATGGAAAATAAGAACGTGAAATCTCAACATGTTGAAAGATTAAAAGAATCAACTATGCAGTAACATCTTGGGTGTCCGAAAAATTGAAATGAACTAGAATTGTAAACTTTCAGTCAGTAAGATCATACTGTTTACTCGTTGGGACATGGAAACAAGAAATTGTGTTGTTTTCCTACAGCAAAAACAGTACTTGGATGCAGTGCAGTCAGCCAGCAGATAACATCCATTAGATTTCACAGTCAGTCCTTTAATACAGCATTTCTCAACCTTGTGAACTTTTAAGATGAGTGGATTTCAGTTCCAGGAATTCTTCAACCAGCATGGGTGGGTAGAGAATTCTGGGACTTGAAGACACACCTCATAAAAGTTCACAATGTTGAGAAACCCTGCTTCAGTAGCATTATTATTCTGGTTTATGCTCCAACAGATGCAGAACAGAAAACTGACAAACTTCATGGTCAGGTTTAGTCTGAAATCCATAGTCTAAATGCAAGCAGGACGTGCAGTTTTTTCTGTAGTATAAGACACACCTTTTTCCCCCCAAAAAGAGGGTGAAAATCTGGGTGCGTCTTACACACTGAATACAGCATTTTTTGCCTTCCGAAACCCCGCCCCGCGCATTCCGTTTTTCGAAAAAATGGATGCACAGAGGGTTTGGGATGCCTATAAAGTGCTCCTGGGGGCTGGGGAGGGCAAAAACCTTTTTTAAAAATGTACCTCTTCAAAATATTGGTGCGTCTTATACACTGAATACAGCATTTTTTGCCTTCCGAAACCCCGCCCCGCGCATTCCGTTTTTCGAAAAAATGGATGCACAGAGGGTTTGGGATGCCTATAAAGTGCTCCTGGGGGCTGGGGAGGGCAAAAACCTTTTTTAAAAATGTACCTCTTCAAAATATTGGTGCGTCTTATACTTCGGTGCATATTATAGTCTGAAAAATACGGTAGTTGGAAATTGGAATGCTGAAGTGGGACAATATGGCTTAAGTAACAGAAATGAAGCAAGATAATGACCATTTCAGGCAATCCAATAGCTTCTTCATTACTGATGAACATTTTTCAAACAACATGGACATCCCCAGAAGAAGCAAACAGAATCAGGCTGACTATATTATTGATAACAAGGATGTGGAAGTGCTCAGTTAATTGGGCCGACTGTGGAATGGATCGTGAACTGCTGATATGTAAGATGCAAATCTAGCTGAAGCCAAAGAACAAACCCTGCGAGTTTCCACAATAAGATCTTGAGAGTTGTT